CCTGGCAGCTGCCCTTAGATCTCCTCCACAGACAATGGAGCACAGAAGAACACTTGGAGCTTGCTTTGAATGTGGCAGAGCCAGCCACTGGGTGAAAACTGCCCTTCACCTCGTCCACTGCCAGGACCCTGTACAAACTGTGGACAAGCAGGATACTGGGGAGTTGAATACCCCGCTTTGCCTAGACAAGGTAGGCTGGTCCCCCCAGTGCTTCCTCCACAGGAAAGTCTGTTGGATCTTCTGGGGATTGTAGCCAAAGACTTAGACTACCCTGGGCCCTCTGCCTCCAACAACCACAGAGGAATCTAGGGCGATTTTCCAGGTAGCCAGTAAGTCTCTGTCATTTTCAATAGATTCAGAAGCTACTTGGTCTGTCCTTCCTGCTTACTCAGGTGAAATTTATCCTTCTCAGGTATCTGATGGTGTTTACGACTAGGTTAGTAATAACTTTGCCAATTGAACAGCAGCAGCCAAGGCTTCAGCTGTCTTCCCAGTTCTCTTCATATGTAAAAATCAGGCTTCAGGCCTCACTTTCCTAGAGCTACTACTAGGTCTAGACACAGTCTACCTTGCTACCAGACTCTAAAAATAGCTAAACTTATAAAACATACCAATGTAACTTTTTACTAATCCTTTATTTAAAAGAATTGGATTTACAATAACTGCTCTCAGTCATCAACCACCTGTGTCTCATGGTAAATGACTGGATAGAAAAAAAAAGGTGTAAAGTTTATGTAAGGTCCGAGGATACAAAAGCGTAAGTTGTGGGTCCAAGAAAATGTTTTAAGATGTGTAAATGCAAGTTATAAAGGTCTGAGGATATGAAAGCTTAAGTTATAACGGTCTAAAAAAGTGTTTAAAGGTGTGTAAATGCAATTTGTGAAGGTATAAGAAAGTGACTTAAGGTATATAAAAATGAAAAATGTGTCAGATTTCTTTCCCTCTCTATGCTATTGTTATATTAAAACTTCAAAAGTTCGGAGTTTTAACATTGATCAGTGGAGTTCTGATAACTAATTAATCTACTCTGCTAAGTGCTGACTACTGATATCATAGTCACAAGCTCAAGATTTTAAATTTCCTTTTGTTGTCTTCTAAGTATAGACTTAAAAGTGCTTTTCATTGTGCTAAAAACATCTGTCTAACCTATACACACTCAGTCTTCTGGATAGAGGAAAGAGTGTAAATGCTCTTAACCAAAAGTCGTTTTTGGTCCCCAAGCTTCTGCTATGACTCAAAAGCATGAGTCTACAGCCTTTTCTACAATATAGATTGTAGTACAGATTACAAACATTGGAAATGCTAACATATCTGAAATTTACCTCTTTTTATAAACTTAAGAATTCTTGTAAGATTCAGGGAATTGGCTTGAATCCACCTCTCACAGGAAAAATGGACTCTAGATAAGTACTGTCAATTAACAACTTGTTCCGTACCTGCCAGTTCCACCTATTCCTAAGAGTGGGATGTCTGTCTGTCTGTCTCTGCCTCTGCCTCTGCCCCCCTCTCTGTCTCTCTCTCCGTGGTCTTGGGACTTCTCTTCCACAACTACCATACCAGGACCATGGGCCTGAAAGTTTCAAATGTACACCCTGGATAAAAACTTTCCCTTAAGCCGGGCGGTGGTGGCGCACGCCTTTAATCCCAGCACTCGGGAGGCAGAGCCAGGCGGATCTCTGTGAGTTCGAGGCCAGCCTGGTCTCCAAAGCGAGTTCCAGGAAAGGCGCAAAGCTACACAGAGAAACCCTGTCTCGAAAAACCAAAAAAAAAAAAAAAAAAAAAAAAAACTTTCCCTTAAACTCCTTAACTTTACCTTCCCTCCCTAGTCTCTGTCCCAACAGATTTCAAGTCAACTGCAGACTGCTCCAGCACCAGCTCCAGGTGTTCCCTCAAAATCTGTATCCCGAACAGTTTCAGAGTGGCTAGTCTGAGGTAGCCCAGCCTCACAAACTGTTCCAACTGCTGCTTTCATGTCCCTAGCCCCAAATGGTCTTGCAGAGTCTGGACAGTGAGTGAAATGTGAAACAACCTGGACTTGGCCAGCATCTCAACTTTCTTTTGTCTCCAAAGATGTTGACACCCCTAGACAACAGGAAGCAGTCCAAAGAGTAGAGCACCCTCATTCCTGCCTCATCAGCCACCCCTTCCTATTTCCTCACCTCTTACGATAAACCAAAGGGAGGCATGTCAGGAACCAGGTGCTCCCCCAGCCTGCCTCCAGTGACTCAGTGCCTGTAGCTACATCATCACCTGCCACCAAATGTGACACATGTACACTTTAAAATGTCCCGGCCATCACAGCCCACTCCCCTGTGTGTGTGTGTGTATCCCTTCCCCCCACCCCAATAAATCCCTTGCATGAGATCTGTTGCGTGATGTGATCTTTGCAGCATTCCTTGGCCCCGATCGATCCTCCAATGCACTCTTCCGCAGAAACCCTAACAGAAGGTTGATGAATCTCTAACCACCTTGGTATTCATTTCCAAAAGGATACTTTCATACCTAGCCATACAAGGAGCAGCAGACCTCATTCCTAGTGTGGCCAGAAAACTGGAATGTGGAGACAGAGACAGACAACACTGTTAGCATGATACAGAGGAGGGCCACAAACCTTCCCTACCTGGGCTACACACAACAAACAGAGCATGTTGGGGAAAAGCCTGTGGTCTCCAAACATGGGAGAAGTGGTGTTACATAAATGACCTGTGAAGGGTTATGAGCCTCATGATCCTGGATTTTGGCCTGCTCATTAACCCTCTCCCATCCTTGGGAGTGGCTTTCTCAATTAATACGGTCTGTTTTTATTACCTTACCATGTATCCTTGGAACAGTTTGTCTTAGGACAGAAGGCCATGGAAATTTGGGGTATCCTCCAAATTTAGACCAATGACTATAGTACCTGTAATCTTCCTGTTCCCAACTCTGCATCCCTCCCTGCCCTCAGCCAGCCTGGTCCTCCCCCAGGCTGGGTCAGGCCAGGCTTCCTTGTGTGCACAGAAGGCTTGACCAGGATCCAGGATCAGAGACCAGAGATTGGGGGCTGGAGATTCAGCCCCTCAGGAAGCTGCTGGCACCAGCTACCATGTTCAGTTTTTTTTTTTTTTTTTTTTTTTTTTTTTTGGTTTTTCGAGACAGGGTTTCTCTGAGTAGCTTTGCGCCTTTCCTGGAACTCACTTGGTAGTCCAGGCTGGCCTCGAACTCACAGAGATCCGCCTGCCTCTGCCTCCCGAGTGCTGGGATTAAAGGCATGTGCCACATGTTCAGTTTTTAAAAAGAAAATCAAGGTAAGGCTGGCATAGTGTGAAAGTCCTCTGTCGTGTGTGTGTGTGTGTGTGTGTGTGTGTGTGTGTGTGTGTGTGTGTGTGTGTGTGTGTGTAGGTTTCAACTTCCTAGGCAGTCCCTGCCAGGAGCCCTCAGTCACATATATCCCCAGCCTTGACACAGGACGGTCCCTAGAATGGTTCATTCCAGGCCACAGTATAAATGTCCCAAACCCTAGTGACTTGGGAGAGGCAGCCATCAGCTCAGTCATGTTCCTCACAGAGGAATCCACAGGAGGCCATAGGTAACAAGCAAGAATCTGGTTTCAACTACAGTACTGACTTGGGGAATGCGAGGAACAATCCGCGGCGGGGATGATGTGTTAGTGAGGGTTCTCAAAGGGACAGAACCAATAGGATGAACATCAGTACAAATTATATAGATTTATATTAAAATGTAAGTATAGATTTAATAAAAAATTTATCAAATCAGTTTCTTAAAATAGTAACAACAAATTGTCTCACACATGAGAGGCTAAGAACCCAGTGGTTGCTCAGTCTTTGAAGTTGAGTACCTCAGTGGACCCACCCTGGTGCTGAAAACCATGGAAGCCTAGAACCACTGTGTTCTGATCACAGTGGAGGAATCAGCAGCAGCCACAGGGTAAAACAACTTGGAGAGAAGAAGGTCAGGCATGCAAAAGGCAAGTCAATGTCCACCATGGCTCTCACAATCCCTGCTGCTACCTGAAGGTGGCACCACACTTGGGGTGGGTCCTCCTACATCAGTTAAGGCAATGGGACAGACAGTTCTTCGGGTGAGGCTTCCTGCTCGGGTGGTTCTACCTCTGGAAAGTTGACACTCAGGCCAAGTACAGGAGCCGAGGCCTGACTCAGTGCTATGACTGAGTGTATGAGAGTATAAATGTTGCGGAGGCCCCATGGGGTTGCCAAAGACACTATGCCTGTCTCCTGGCCTCATCCCCGTCCACTGCTAGCCAGTTTCCAGAGGCTTCTATCAGCCAATGAATAAAGGTCTGAGGCCCCCAGATTCCTTCTCAAGTTCTCTACACCACCAGGATGATGCTGGACTTTCTAAAATAAAAAAATAACCACTAATGATGGTAGACAGTGATGCATCATTTGCTTAGCAATTCAAAGTTCTCAGTGTGTTGTCATGGGAGCCAGGGCCTCAGTTGATCCCCACAACATGGTGGCTGGTATACATTCTTCCACAAGGAAACTGAGGCTCTGGGAGCTGAGCAAGCCTCCCAGCGGCACCCCTGAAGGCAAACTGAGCTGCCCTGGTGTGTGCTGAGGCTCCACATCACACCTTTGCCTCACACAGCCTTCTCTAACATCTCTCATTGTGTTCTGACTACTAACCGGAGACCCAGCCCCCAAACCCTGGTGGCTCCGACCTACTGTAGAGAACCTTCTAGATCCTGCCCTGCTCTCCCCTTTGTTTTCATGTACCAAGCATAGGCTACACCATTAAGATTTAAAGAAGCCATCTGCTAGGACTCTGCAGTCACCGGTGACAAAGGTCACACCCCCATGAACTAAGGGGTTCATGTATCTTCAGATAAGTCAGGAGAGGTAACAGCCAGATCCCCAGAGGAGCTGCTTTCAGCCCATGGGACAAAGCTCCTCTGCTTCAGCTTTTACAGTTTCTTAACTTGGGGAAAACGAACCCACTTTTGGTTTGGTTTCAGCCTTTTTCTGCCTGTGTAGCCAAGCTCATCTGCTTACCTCATCACAAAATTCAGTCTCGTTTATAAAAATGAAGTGTTGCCTGATTTCTAGAACTGCAAATAGAAGCAAATTCCGTCTTATAACTAAATGTGTTGTAACTGGATCTTTTGACAGGCCGCTGCCCCAGGAATGCAAAGGCCCCATGCAAAGGAGAAAGCCAGCCAAGGCCCGTGCCGAGGAGCCCAGGAAACCCCTCATTCAGACCCCCAGCCGCTGAGCCTGGTTCCAGAACTCAGAGCTGACAGGAAAAAGGTGAGAGTCCATCTCAGGGAACCACGTAACCAGAGACCTAGAACAAACAAGTTCAAGTCCACACACTGCTTTAGCAGGAAAGAATGTGAGCACAGCTTTGACTATAACAGAACGCCCACAGCCAGTGGCCATTTTGGATATCCCCTTCTCATGATGCACCGTCAGGGTATTGACCCAAGTTCTCAAGCCAGGGTTCCGGTGGACAGCCACTAATGTTAAAGGGTGGTTCTTCCATTTCCTTTGGCATTTCCAGCTTGTTCTGGCATTTTAAGATTTCCTATCTACCACGTTAATCAAAAGCAGAATTTTAGTTATTTTTTTTTTTTATTAAAAGGAACATGTAGGGTATCCCAAGTGTCTACTCATAAATAAATATTTATGGTTAAACAGATACCATAGACCTGTGATTAACTGGGCTGAGCTATTGTTAGTTGGTGAACCCCTCAGAGGCCTGTCTTGTAAGAAGTGAAGGGCTATTGCTGAATCACGCAGTGTGAATACGGGAGCAGCTTCCCTTAAGGCCAGCCATAGGCTCCTTACTGAAGCAGAAACAGCCCAGGCTCCAGAGAGACACACCGTCAGACGACACTCTAGGCTCTGGTCAGCAGAGGCCCTAGAAAGAGCAACACTCACAGCGGATCTGTGTTGAAAAGGACAGACAGGGAAGAGGGACTCCACACTTCCAAGTGGAGAAACTTCCAGATACCCCCTTCTCATGATGCACCGTCAGGGTATTGACCCAAGTTCTCAAGCCAAATCATGCCAAAACAAGATGATAGGTGCTGATGACTTGGGCTGATTTCAAAGCTTGACTGGACCAAGAGATGGTCTAGATTTGTTTTGTGTTTTGTTTGGTTGGTTTTTGGGGTTGTTTTGTTTTGTTGAGACAGGGTTTCTCTGTGAAACATTCCTGGCTGTCCTGGAACTCACTCTGTAGACCAGTCTGGCCTCCAATTCACAGAGATCCACCTGCCTCTGCCTCCTGAGTGCTGAGATGAAAGGTGTGCACCACCACAGCCAGGCAAGAGATGTCTAGATTTGTAACGCACAGCTCTGGGTATGTGCAAGGGTACTTCCAGAGAAACAAGGGCCCTGACGTAATCGAAGGTATAAGCCATTGATGGAATGTGTTAGAGCTGCTGAAGGTGGGGCCTAGTTGCAGGAAGTGGGATGGCAGTTTTAGGAGCTATATCCTGCTCTAGCCCCTTCCCGTTGGCCTGCTTCATTGAGGACCTAGAAACATGGAAGCAGCCTACCTCTGAAACTGTGGACCAAAATAATTCCTTCCTCCTGTAAGTCATTCGCATGGGCAGTGAAAAATCTTACAAAGATAGATGCTAAGGGACATTTTTAAGTTTAAAATTCATGCCTTACACAACAAAGAATTTATTGACAACAAAAACGTATGGCTTAAAATTGAGGTCCTTGGTTATTGCCTTAGAACAATCTGTGAGGGAGTATTATATTAAGGTGTGTTACTTTTGTTTATGTTGCATTTGTTTAACTCTGTGAAGCTGTGTTACTGTGCCTGTCTGGAACACCTGATGGTCTAATAAAGAACTGAACGGCCAATAGCGAGGCAGGAGGTAGATGGGATAATTTAAAGTTAAGGAAAACAGGCAAGCAACAAGCCAAGCTAAGGCCAGGCATTCATAATTAAGAATAAGCCTGCATGTGTGATTTATTTGGGAGCTGGGGAGAAAGAGAAAAGGAGTAAAAAAACAACCAACAATAGTCCCTGTCTAGTCTGTCGGATCATGCTGCCCCAACACAGCACCACAGGCCATATTAAATAAGAGATCCAGTGTACACATGCTTAGTTTTCTGCGTTCTTTTCTTGGCTTGTGATGGTCATCCTTCTCCAGGGTCTTCCCGTGGTCCTTGCTGTGTGTGTTTGTGTCTTGGTCCCCTCATCTAATACATACAACAGTCGTAAGGGCACTGGGTCCACCCTCATGACCTCCTTTTAACTTTATCACTGAAAAGTCCCTTTCTGCAAACAGAAGCCTTCAGGAGTATCAGGAGTTGAGACAGATAACATTTAACACCGAGGGAAACAATTTAGCCAAGTGGACAACTCTGGTGTGTGAACGTGGAGAAGCCAAGCCAAAGAGCTCTGAGTGGCTGGCCCAGTGCGGAGGCTGGATATTAGGCACACAGAACCAGACTTGGTCCTCTAAAAATAACTGCCACAAAGGGCAGAACTTACAGCAGCATTTGGACCTCTCTCTAACAACTGGCATGGAGAGGGACCAGAAGGTGGAGAAGCAGGGGCCAGTCTAAGGGGTGGGGGGACTTAGAGACTGGAGTTTCTTCTCATGAACCCTCAAACCCTTTTCACAGATGAGAACACTAAGACTTCAAGAGGTTGAGTGATTTCCCTAATGTTCACAGCTTGCTTGCTTTTGGGGGTTTTGTTGTTGTTCTTGTTTATAAGTCAGGGTATTGTGGTTTGGATATGAAGTACTCTCATTGACTTCTGTGTTGGACATTTGGTCCCAGCTGATAATGCTGTTTTGAAAGGTTATAGAACTTTTGGAAGTGGGGCCTAGCTTGAGGAAGTGGGTGACTGGATGTTGAGGGCTTATGGGTTTCATCCTAGTTTCTGCCATGTGGGGGAGTGGATGAAGTTCTGAGGGGATGTGTATTGTTGACATGAGCATGGCCATGTCAAGGGCCCCAATGCCTCAGGCCCATGGGAGTGGCAAGGCCTTTCCCTAATCTGCTCAGATGTTGACTGTGTGCAGAAAATATCAACCACAGCTTCCAGAAGACTATGGCCTGAGACCACTCCTCTATCGACACCCCTCCTTGGATATCTGCTAACCTGCCGCCTCCTCATTCTGCTGTATAAATAAAACATGCCGAAGCTCCCAGGCTGCTAGTGCATCTCCATCAGAGCACGTGACCCACCGGATTCCAGCTTTTCCAGACCCTCGTCTGTGGTTCTTCATTCCCTTCATCCCCGTCAGGTCAACCTCAAAGCTGTACAGGTCTTAGCATTGCTGCTTCCTAGTCTGCTGAGCACTCACGAGCTGTGCAACCAGCTCCTGTGGCCCAGACAGAGCCGCCATGCCTTCCCTGTCCGGGTGGACTTCACCCACAAGCCAAGACAGGTCCTTTGTCCCTTAAGATGATTTGTCTGGTACTATGGCAGACTGCAGAGGAGCTTCTCAAGCTGCTCAGGTCGAAGTGATCCCTCCCCTCCCCATCGCTGACACAAGCACATGCCTCCATGCCTGGCTTTCATAGCAGTTTCTTATGTGGGACTTAAAAAAAAAAAAAAAAAAAGAAACTTACATGCGTACGTGTGTCTCTGTGAGTGTGTGCCACACGCTCACGGATGTCTGTCGGGGCTGGAATAGTGTGCTGTGTCCCCCAGAGCTGGAGTTACAGGTACGCTGCCTGGTGTGAGTGCTGTCTTCTGGAAGCACAGCAGGCACTCTCGACCACTGAACCCACACGGAGCTTTCGGCAGCTGTAACAGTCAGGCTTGGGGGAACCCAAGAAACATTTGCCTAAGTTTTAAGACAGTAGGGAAGACAAAATTCAGACGTGCTCTACCCATCTCCATAGCTGGAGACCATTTGTGGGCTAGGGTAGCAGAGGCTGAGTGGGAGGGGCACTAACTGATGTTGGAGACAGCAGGGAAGGAAGGAGGAGGTGACAGCGGTGAAGCCAGAAGACAACTTGAACATCCTTTTGGATATTCACACTGGCCAACCACAGAGGGTGGGGATGGGGTGGGGTTCCTGACTGCTGGCAGCCAACCCATCCTCACAGATCGTCTCTCTACCCCCAAGTTAAAGCTGAAGCTTGGCTCCAGATGGCTCCCTTCCTCAGTACCAACCCCATGCCAACTCCCATACTGCCCACCATGACTCTGTCAGGAAAGTCCAAGCAGCCAGGAAGTTGAGAAACGTGGCCTGCTGGTCCCTGTACTGCAACAACCCGACACGTCCTAGCTGGCCCCAGGCCCCTGAGACCCCTCAGGAGTGAGAGGAGACCGGATGCAGCCGGTCTGAGGTCCAGACAGGCAGGAACAGAGCTGGGAGCTGGCTGTGCTCACTCTGGACACAGTGCTCCAGACCTCCTTTGACCAGCTGGCCTGTGCTCTCCTCCACAAACCGGACCGGCAGGACAGTGTGGGATTCTGGCAGCACCAGGCACTGGTACCAGACTGGCCTCTGTTCGGATGTAGGTTCTGTCATCTCATGGGTGGAGCCGCTTCCCTGGCTCAAGCTGTTTCCTTAGAGTAAAATGGCCAGTGTGATCACTCTTGCAGGACTGTAGAGAGCTGAGCACAGTAGGTGTGAACACAGTAGGTGTGAGCACAGTAGGTGTGAGCACACAAAAGCTGCTCTTCATAGCCTGCTGGGCGAATGTGGTCCTCCTGCCTCAGTGGGCCCAGACCTTCCCAGACCAGTGAGCTTTGCCCTGACTCTCAGACCCCTCCCCATGACCTCCCTCCTCCCTCTTTGTCAAAGGAAAAGCTGAGCCCTAGTGAAGTAGGACCGTAGGGACAGGTTTAAGGAGACAAGGAAGTCATTTTCTGTAGTCATTGTGCAGATAATAACTGTCCTATATATTTACAGGCCTTCTAATATGCAGAATCCTTTGGACGAGAATCTCTAACACCCACCCAACTCCTCCGAAGGTGGGGATATTGGCTCCACTTTATAGATGAGGGAACTGAGGTAATCCACATAACTCACAGCCAAGGCCACCTGACCTCCACTGTGCCTCTCTCCCTCCCTCTCCCCACCCCCGTCTTCTGTGCATACATGTAGTGTTTCTCCTTCCTGTTTCTCTGACCTGCAGGCAACGGCTCTACCGCCTTCTGGCCTCCTAGTCCATGACAAGACAGCGTGAAACAGACCCAGCAGCCGCAGCAATCGTACTACAGCATGTTTGTTGATGAAATCAACCAAGAGTCACTGTAAGGTGAGGTTGGGCAACCGGAAATGAACTCCTGACCCCAGAGGTCAGGAAGGAGGATGTCAAAAGGCTTAGAACGTGCTTCTGCGTCCAACAATGGGGCTGATGGCAGAGTCGGACTTCCTACCTGCATCTGGCCCAGCCAGTCCACTGCAGCTGATGATACATGGGCCACAGAGGAAGGAGCACAGCAGCCAGTATGGCCTGAGCAGATTTGGATGTGACTCAGAGTCTAGGCCACTCTCCCTGAAGAACAGATAAGGGAGCCTGACAACCCTGGCCACCACTTCCTCCCCAGTCGTTCACCAACCTATTTGCAGGCAGCTAGTTTTTGGGTCTTTTTTTTTTTTTTTTTTTTCAGAAATGAAAATGAAAACACATCTCTTCTGGAACAAGGGATCCTGGTGGAGTTTTCTCTGGAAGTGATTCTCAGGTATACATACATGGTAGGATTGGTACACAGCATCGTATGTGAGTTATGCCATTTTATGATTATTTAAGGGGGTTCCACTTGCAAGAAAGTAGAGTGATGTATTCCCTTATTCCACGAGCTAATGACACCTGGCTGGGGAGGTGGTTCAGTGGGTAAGAGCATTTGCTCTTCAATCATGAGGACTTGAGTTCAAATCCCCAGAACTCATGAAAAACCTTGGTAATGGCTGCACATGCCTGTAACCCCAGAATTGGGGGTATAGACAGAGGGATCCCAACAGCTCATTGGCCAGTCAGCGTAGCTGAAATGGCAAGCTTCCAGTCTGGTCAGAGACCTGTCTCAAGGCCAAAGGCAGTACAGCAGAGAACCATAGATAAAGGCACTAGGCATCCTGTTCTGACATCTCATGTGCACAGGCACTTACACTCATGTGCATATACCACACTCCATACACCAAACCCACCCAACACAGCACACAATACACCATATCTACATCATACCACATAACAATACGCTAGCTCAATATATTACATGCACACACAATATACCACATACATAACACACATACATACAAATAAAAACACTAAACATACAGTATATCACAAATATACACACAACAATGATGACCTTGGATGTCATGTGTAAGACAAGCATATGAAGACCCCAAAAGGAAGAGAGAAAGAGAGCCGGGAAGTTCAGAGTCCTAGGATGGGCGTGGTGCAACCTCCGCAGGCTTTCTTTTTGTCTCATTTATCCAGGCCAGGTGCTGGAGAACAGGCAACCTGTATGTGGTGCTTTTAATGAGAAATACCTCCACTAGACAGGTCTCTGAACACTTAGTCCCGAGTTGTTGGTGCTGTGTTGGGAAGATGTGGGAACCTTGAGAGTTAGGGCCTTGATGGAGGAGGGACTGTTAGGATCCTGTACACGCGCAGCATCTTACATCATCAGCGGGCACTGGCGACTACGTACTGCTGCGTGGTCATGCAATCCCTGCCTTAAAAAGCCAGGCGTGGACCCCCACTCTCTCTTTCTGTGTTCTCTCTCTGCTCTCTGCTCTACTTCCCCCCCTTGCTTCCCTCCCCCACCAGGCCTGGCTCTTCTCCCTTTCTCCCCACCACCCACCTTTCCCTCCTAATAAAGCTCTAAAAACTAACATTGGGTTCTGCCGTGGCCCGTGACCACCAACCAGCACCATTTTACTATCAGGGACATCACTAGGGGTGGGCTTTGGGTGTTTAGACTCTCACCCTATTTCCCTTTCACTCTCTCTGCTTTGTGCCTGCAGTTGAGGATGTGAGCTCTCCACCTTCCTGCTCTGGCCACCATGCCGGGCAGCTGCCATGACTCCCAACCATGATGGACTCATCCCTTTGGAACCATAAGCTCAGATGAAAGGTATTCTATAATTCGCCCTGGTCGTGGTGTTTTAACACAACAACAGAAAAGTAGCTAATACGTTTTCTATAACAGCGGGACAATCAGGATGCACCCTGCAAAAGGGAGAAAAATGTTTCTCTATAGCTGGAGAGGCCCGGCAAGCAGTAAACTCTTCACATTAGCTATCCTAGACAAATGTCACAGAGAAGCCCACCACCCCACCCAACCACGCCACAGAGGCGGAATCTTCCCTTCAACAGGCAGGGACAAGGAGTTCCAAATATGCTCCATTTGGGGCGCCAGCAGAAGCCAAGCAGGGAGCTGCCCAATGACCACCTGCTGCTGCTCATGTAAAATGTGCCCTCTGCCCACCAGTCAAGCCCCACTGGGAGTCCAAGGAAGCAGAGTGAGGAATGTGGATTTCTACCCTTGTCTGGCGAAGTAAAGCAGTGCCACCCCCTTCTTCTGTGACAAGGGCATCAGAGGAAGCCAGCTAAAATGGGTTTAAATAAAATGCATTTCCTTACAGCATAACATTAAATGTCCAGATTTCAATCAAAGAGTGCTTATTATACCTAGAACCGGGAAGATCTCAAACTAAATGATAGAGCAATTGACAGAGATTGACATGGAGAAGACAGGTGTGTTAGGATGATCTAACAACAACAACAACAAAAATCAAAGCAGCCATGAAAGAAAAAAAAAAAAAAAACCTCGGTGAGAGACGGCAAACACATTTGAAACAGATGAAATACAGAAAGCCTCAGCAAAGCCCGGAAACTATTAAAGAAAGAGTCAAATGGAACTAAAAACACGATAATAAAAGCTCAGTAGACTGGCTTAAGAGCAGGACAGCGGGAAGAGAGAACACAGTCAGCAAGCGGAAGACTAAACAAAGACACAGCCCAGCAGGCAACAGACAAAATAGACTGGAGAAAGGGCTGAGCGGAGACCCACAGGACTGCAGCCAGAGCCGACATTGGAGCCCTGACAGGAAACTGGTCAAATAAACATGGCTGCGATGTGGGTAGAAACCTATGGATCCAAGAACGAGGGGGTCTACACAGGATAAAGCCCAAAGAAATGTATAGCAAAACACAACAGAATAAAATACCTGAAAACTAGACAAAGAAAAAAAAATACCTTAAAGAAATCAGAGAAAAGCAATGTCCTACCTATAAAAGAAAAACTATGTGAGTGGCAGTGAATTCCTTTTCTAAGTCCACGGAGGCCTTCTTATGCTAATTTTTTTAAAAACAAAACAAAACAAAACCACCAGTCCCATATGGTTTATCTAGAGAATTCTACCAAACTTTTAAAGTATTAACACTAATTCTATACCTTGTGTTCTATAAAGCAGAAAGATGGATGAGGGACCACTATAAACTCACCATAAGTCAGTGTTATCCTATACCATGATCACAGATAATATTATCCTGTACCATAAGCACGGATAACACTTTAAAAATCCAGACTAATATGTCACATAAATGAACTGAAACCCAGAATCCAGCAACATATTAAAATACTTAAGAGGCTGGGGTAGCTCAGTGGTAGAGCATGGGTTTAGCATGGATAAGCCACATAAATTCAATCCTTAGTCCCCTCAAGAAAAAAAAAAAAAAGAAAGAATTATACACCCTGACCAGCTAATTAGAGGAAGAAAAGATTGGCTTAATATTTGGAAAAACATCCAATATAGAAACTGGTTAATGAAGAAAATCACATAATTATTTAAATGGGTGCAGAGAAGTGTTTGACAAAATTCAGTATCAATAAATGATTAGAAAACTGGGAATGATGAACTGGGAATGGGAATTAGAAAACCCAACTTGATGAAGAACAACTTCAAAACCCTGCAGCTAATACACAAAATAGGGAAAGGCTGGATGCTTGTCCTCTGAGATAAAGAACAAGGCAAGGATGCCTGCGGTCCATGCTCTTATTCAACTCAGAATTGATAGTGTTAGCCAGAGCCACAAGGCAAGAAAAGACAAGACATACAAACAGGAGCCTACTCCTACTTGTATATGGCATTCTAAAGGAATCTAAAAAAACAAAAAACTGTTAAGCCTCCCAACTTACACATTGTCAGAACATGGAATGAAGCTGTGTGAGATTTCTGAGAGCTTGTGAATACCAAGCAAATAAGACAAGTCTTGTGACCTCTGTTTCTCCATAACATGGGGTGTTCTTGGAATGTGCCTTCGTGCCCCTCCCAGGTGTAGTAAACAGGAGTGGGTTTGCTTCAGATTACACACCATCTTACGCTGCCATTCAGATGATGTTTCTAAGGACAAGGTGTCCTCCTGGCTGGAGACAGCCCAGCTCATGTGAACTCTGCTCATGTGACTTTGCCTAACCCTCAGAATATAAATTATCTGATGCCCTGAATAAAGTTGAACATTGCATGAGTCTTTAGTCTGCTTCGTTTTTTAGGCTCTACTCTCCCAGGTTCACTCCACCAACTAGAGAGATGACAACACATAAATTAATTCAAAATGTACCAATAGCTTAACATAATATGTAAGATTATAATTGTTAAGTTTCAAACCCGGAACAAATGGCTGAAGTGCCTATTTAACACATCAAAGCGGACCTGGCCTCCATGTTCGTTCTCCCAGCATCTCTCAGTGCCTATGTTTTACAGGATATGGCTGGCATACCCCACCCTCTACCCTGAACTCTCCAGCCCAGGGCCTGGGCTGCCCTTCCCCCAGAGGCTCTTCCCAATATAATCCACACATTTTGGTTTGTCTCTTTTGTACCTTTGGCCTCCTAGCTGCTGCACCTGGTTCCTACCTCTCCCCTCTCTCCCTTCTCCCTGCCTCTCCATATGGCCCAGCTCAGGCTGGTCACGTCTGTTAGGATCCTGCCCTCACCCCTCGGGGTCTTTCGTCTTAGGTCATCAACAGGCGCTGGTGACTACATACTTGTGGTGTGGTCACACAATCTGCATCTTAAAAAAGCCAGACACGGACCCCACCCTCTCTCTCTGTTCCCTCTCTGCTCTGCTCCCTCCCCCAAGGCCTGGCTTCCCTCTATCTCCCCCCACTTTCCCTCCTAATTAAAGCTCTCCATAGTAGCTCTGGTAGTTATGGCCGTGGCTCGTGACTTTTCTGCCGGTTACCAGCGCCACCACCAGTACTGTTCATCCTTTCAATGTCCACTCTGGACTCTCCCAGATGCCTCTGTCTCTACCCATGACTACACTCTCCCTTTTGTCTACAATAAACTTTCTCCTCCACCATACCTAGGAGCAGTCATGTCCTTTCCTTTCCATTTCTTTTTTTCATTCAATAATTTTTTTTAAAGGAAGCCTTCAGGACCTCAGACTAAGGCAAATGTTTTTGAATGTGACACCAAAAGCACAATTCTAAATGTAATTAGAATTTAAAATGTTTAAAATAGCTGGGCATAGTGGCACACATCTTTGATCTCAGCGGCAGAAACAGGTGGCTGTCTGTGAGTTTAAGGCCAGCCTGGTCTACACAGGGACTTGCAGCACTGCCAGGGCTACATAATGAGAAACTGTCTCAAAAAAAAGAAAGAAAGAAAAAGAAAGTTAAAAACACCTGTTACAAGTGAAAGAAGCCATCTGGAAAGGCTACATGCCTGATTCCAACTGCATGGGGTTCCGCTGTGGGGGGCCCCAAAACAGCTTGACCACACAGCTGCCCAGGCTTAGAGGCCCAGACAGCTTCTGGCAGGCAACCTCTGGACCCAGGAAAATCCATAAGCTGACCCCACCCAGTGGGGCCTGCATCTAAGAGGAAATACCCGACATTCCAAACATTCCCTATACCCCCTAGACAAATGTCAGCCAATCAGGGTCCTGAACCCTGGAAATCCCCTCACCCCAACCTCTGCTATGATTTAAAAAAAAAAAAAAAACAAAACCCACCCAGCCTGGGCTCTGGGCTCTCTGCTCTCACCGCCTTGTAGGACAGACAGAGAGACCAAGCCCAGAGCTTGAAATTAAAGGCTCTTTGCTTTTACATACAGGATTCGGTCTCTGTGGTGGTCTTTTGGGGAGCCCCGAGATCTAGGCATAACACCGCAAAGGGCAAAGTCACAGAGATAGCAAAATACCAATGGTGTCAGGGAGTGTGGCATGAACAGACAACACAGTGCATTTCTATGGTGGTGACTATGATCCTATGTTTTTGCAGATTCATAGAGTGTACAATATTGTGATGGTGAATTTTTGGTTTTGGTTTTCTAGACAGTTTTTCAGTGTAACAGTCCTGGCTGTCCTGGATCTCATACTGTGGCCTCAAACTCACAGAGATTTGGCTGCCTTTGCTGGGATTAAAGGTGTGTGCCACCACCACCCAGCACCACTGCTGTATTTTGAAAACTGCATGCTGTGGCCTTAGTGGGTGGAGACAAGGGGCACAGAGGGAAGTCACACCATGCAATAGCACTCACATAAAAAGTTTTATTATTAAAGGGAGAAGAGAAGAGGGGGAAAGAGAGAAAGAGGAAGAGGAGGAGAGAGAGAGAGAGAGAGAGAGAGAGAGAAGAAGAAGAAGAAGAAGAAGAAGAAGAAGAAGAAGAAGAAGAAGAAGAAGAAGAAGCGTGTGAGACCTTGTGGCAAGAAACAGGAAAGAAGAGAGAGAAGGGGGAGGGTTTCCTCTTAAAGAAGACTTCACATAAGATGACTTCAGAACGCTGGGCAGATTCCCCAAGGGGCAGGTCTGAATGCTAACAGCCACCACTTTCCATCAATGCCATCAGAGCTCGGCTTCTTCAGCCTTCCAGGGATCCTGCAGGCCTTTATCACTGAGAGGGTCAGGCAAATATCATGACAGCCTGTCCTAATAACTCAGTTAAAAACTAGGCCTCGGTTCCTGCTTCTGGAGACTGAGCAGGCAGTTTCTGAAGAAGCCACAAACATAGGGCAGATTAATCATTGGTGCCTCTGGCAACAGGGATGAAAACTGCATGTACTAGGCCAGAGTGCCCCCTCCCCCTGCAGTGGGATGTTCTGTACTCTGTGAACGTGTTGCTCTGATTGGTTGATAAATAAAACGCTGATTGGCCAGTAGCCAGGCAGGAACTATAGGTGGGATAAACAGACAAGGAGAATTCTGGGAAGTGGAAGGCTGAGTCAGCAGATGCCAGCCCACTGTCCAAGGAGCAGTATGTAACCACACACAGGTAAAGCCATGGAACACGTGGCGACATATAGATTAACAGAAATAAGCTGAGTTTAAATGTAAGAGCTAGTCAGTAGATAGCCTGAGCTAATGGCTGAGGAGTTTTAATTAATATAAGCTTCTGAATGATTATTTTATAAGCAGCTGCAGGGTCCATGAGGCTGGGCAGGACCAGAGGAAAATTTCAGCTACACCCCCCACCCCACCTCCCCCACACACAGCAGCTCAAGATGATAACCAAGCAAGGACAAAGCCTGGGACTTGTCCAGGCCTGCCCAAAAATGAAAAAACTGTAGCCTTAACCAGCCCTTGCTAGCCCTAGCCAATTAGAACGTACTAATATGATTGCCACTTTCATAAGCCAATCATATGTGAAATGACCTAACTGCCCTAGGAACTGCCCTTAGCTGTGCCTAAAAGGAGCCTGCAAGCTTCTCTCAGGGTCATTGCCATTTTGCCTTTGTGTAGGATGGTTGGCCCCAGCATGCTGGTATAATAAATGTTCTTGTTGATTGCATATGTGGATGGTGGTCTTTTGTGGGACTTCTCCAGGACCCTAACAATCGGCACAGTGGGACTGCTGAGGTATCCGGCCTTGGAGACTGGGCAGATACTGGATTCCCAGCCTCTCCAGTGCAGATGGCCATTGTTAAACTATTCATCCACAATGATGCAAGTTAAGCTAATAAATCCTTAGGTGATATATATATATATATATATAGTTTCCATTCTGTTCTGTTACCCCTGAGAATCACAAGCAAAAGACCAATTCCACAATTTTGGAGTCAAATTTGAAGCAAGCTTTAATTAAATACTGGCCAGGATGATGTGCTCTTGCCAGAACCATTCCAGGGTTCCCAGGAAATGGAGAAGAGTCACATTTTGCAGAGGTTTAAAAAGGCAAAACCACGAGGCCACCACATTTCCCATCAGGTCCAATCAGAGGCAAGCATTTATCCTGATGTACTTCCTGCCTGAGAACCTCCCGCCTACATCCAATTAGGGGTAAATGTACATCCTGATGTATTTCCTGACCATGTACCTCCTGCCCACATGTGATCAAGTACATCCCAAGCAGTTGAGTTAAACAAATTTGTTTAGGGGAGCAAAAACTTGTGATTTGTTATCGCCCATTAACAATAGCCTCCAGCATTCCAGGAAGTTATCTGTCCTTGGGCAAATGGGGCTTACAGGTTAACTTTGGCCCTCACAGTTCCTGTAGAGTAGCATTTCTCCACCTATGGGTGCCAAACCCTTTGGGGTCCAATGACTCTTTCACAGGGGTAGCATATCAGACATCCTGCATATCAGATATTTACATTAGGATTCATAACAGTAGCAAAATTACAGTTATGAATAGCAATGAAAATAATTTTATGGTTGGGGTTCGCCACAACCGAGGCACTGTATTAAAGGGTTGTAGCTGTAGGAAGGTTGAGAACCATTGCTCTAGAGAGCCCTGACTAATACAAATTCCAAGAGTAAGCCCTCAGGCAAACCACGGAGGTTGGGCGATGAAGATGTGTCTGCTCAGGCACACTGAGTGTAACAAATGTGACGGGTGGTGTGATCCGGGTAGTGAGAAAGGCTGTTCTCGTGTCTGCTGGGTACATGGCAAACCCATGGACCTTCTGTTCCATTTTGCTGTAAACCAACAGATGCTTTAAAAACAGTCTGCCCTTCTTTAAAAAAACAAAACAACAACAACAACAAAAAAAAAACAGTTTTTCAGCTGTGCACTGAAAATGGGTGGATTTTATATGTAAAGTGGACCTGTTGGATGGCATTTTCCTGTGAATTGAAACATTCTCTCCAAATTGAAACATTTGCCCCAGGAAGGAAGGAGACGCTCCATGAGCCACAGCTTGAGAAATTCTTGAAGGCTCCTACTGAGTCAGATAAAAAGGAATAAACAGCTGCTGGGGGTAGAGACTCAGGCAAATCAGGCAGCCTGTGGGGAAAAGAGATGATCAGCATGTCAGTTCCAGGGTTGCAGTTTTCCTCAATTGTTGCCCATGGTCGGGGGGAGGGGGGAGCCGCTTTCTGGTGATGCAGCTGCTTTTGAGTCATACTGTCTTCTTGTAAGTAACCCTCACTCATACTCCTGTTAGTCACCCCAATTTAAAAAGAAACAAACAGGGGGCTGGGGAAATGACTTAGTGGTTAGTTAAGAGCACATACTGCTCTTGCAGAGGACCCAAGTTCAATTCCCAGCACCCATATCAGGCAGCTCACAATTGCCTGTAACTCTA